GCCCTAGCAGACCAGGCTAGGTTCCAGCTTGCGATTGTTTACGTATTATCGCGATGCTGATTTGCGGTTTATGTGTCCGTTGTGTGGGTGATAAGAGTTTATTAGTTTAGTTTCGCCAGCGGTGAAACGTTTCTTTTGAACAATTACTTGGATAAGCATGCCGAAGGCTACACGGTCACGCGCAAAACAATTTGTGACAGGCCACCTGGCTCATCTGTCCCACTACCAACTGCCAACTACGGGAAAGCCTTGAGTTACACCAGGTGGCTGAGTGAATCGAAGAAGAATCTCTCTATTGCAATGTTTAAGACCGCGCCGGTAGAAATCAGGGAACTGTGAACCAATGAAGCAATCCTTGTACATGATCTAAAACACGTGACAAAATTGATCGCGAGAGATTTGTATCATCCCAACAGAGGTATCGGCAAGAAATCAGAGAGAGAGAGAGAGAGAGAGAGAGAGAGAGAGAGAGAGAGAGAGAGAGAGAGAGAGAGAGAGAGAGAGAGAGAGAGAGAGAGAGAGAGAGAGAGAGAGAGAGAGAGAGAGGGGGGGGGGATACCACCGCGCCACCACCGCGAAATTCAGCAAGCTTCTCGATGTCGCGAAGTACAAGTGCAAGTCCCAGCGCGGCTCACCATGTCTGATCGCCTACAGCGTGTAGCAAGAGGAGCTTGCGTTCTTGAGGGACTCGTGCAGGCACCGGAAGCTTACCCTGGGGTCATATGACCGGGACACATTTGTGACTAGGGAGGCTCGCGAGGTGCGGAGGATGGCCAGATAGCTCCAAGGGCGTCGTGGCTCAGCCGCCAGTGAGGCGGTGTCTGCTGCTGAACCCGAGTCGCCTCCCGGCCGGCTGTTGAGCCTGCGCCGCCTGTTGAACCAGCGCCGGGTGCTAGTGCTGTACTCGAGCCTGCTTCGGGACCAAGTGGTCTCGCCTCTGGCGAGTCAGCCGAGAGCACGAATTCTGATGCGGCTCTGCACATGGTATAAGGTGGCGACGACTCTGATTGTTCGTTCCGGGTGGGACCGCTGCCACTGCAGATCGCAACTTTAACGATCTAACACCGCTTTGGCGGTTGACAGTTATGGTGGCTCGAGCCGGCACGCCACTGCTGTCATCGACGCCCTCCATTAAGACAGCTGAGATGGACTGGCTGCGTAGATTCTAAGAGGATCTGGCGCGCAGGAGGCAGAGCGAGAAAGAACACGACTGATCAAAATGCTGAATCAACCCACCAGTCAGGTCTGACCATCATCTACTTCGACAGCCGCGAAGGCAGGACCTACATGAACCACACGTAGCCACGCAAATGGCGTCGAAAAACAAGTAGTTGTCATCGCTGAGCCAGACAGCCGCTACGTGACTCATTTCACGTCCGAGTCCAGCCGCGCCCTGCATTTGTTCAACGAGTTACACTCCGTTGAGCCTGCAGGGCGACGGTCACGTCAATGTGCTCGGCTGCGACGACACGGTCGTCAACACCTGAGAGAACCGGAACGACAGGTGGCGTGTTCCGACTGTTTGAGCTGGCCATCGAGTCATCCGTGCACTGGCTCATCTGGCAGCGGCACGGCAATGAGCTGAACCTCCTCCGTCTGCTGCTGAGCTCGGACGGCACGACCACAGGAACGAAATCTTTTTCTGGACTCATCGGCAAGATGTGCGCCGGTGATGGCAGGAGAGGGACGTGTTAGCTTTCGAGCCCATACCGCGGAATGTGCCAGACCTGCCGGTTGACCTGATCCAGCAGCTGAGCACCGATTAGGAGCTGCTGTACCTGTTGGCCTCCGGTGTTCAAAACGGCTTCGTCCGGACAGCGACAGCCCTGCGGCGAATTAGACCAATGAACCACGCGAAGTAAATATGCAACCGCATTATTTCGAATTCATAGCGATGTATGTTTAAACTTTATCACGCATCATTTGGTATGTTATGTGCTCACCATTGAGCATCAACTCATTATCATATGTTGTGTCATTGTAGGTCGTATCATTTGTTCGTTGATTCATGCTTATTAACATATTTGCTAATATGTATTCCGCTGCATTTAAGGACTTTATTGTCAGAATGATTACATACACTAAAGCAGCGCAATAATGCTCGCATGATATAATGTTCAATTCGTAACGAATTCCTCTAGTCTATCCGCTTTTGCTTTCAGATGATTGACACGGGCCGCTCGCCAGCTCATAGCTTACACCTTCACCGAGACCGCCAGCAGCGCTTTGAAGGACCTCGTCCAGTGCGTGGTCGGCCACTGTGTGCCGGTATGGTCTGCCATCCCGCATAACAGTAGCTGCGACTTTGAATCACGCAACTTGTTACGGAGCTTGTTTGGGAGAAAAGGCGCGGCATGGCCTCAACACGGCCAAGCTCAGGCAAGGCCAGACTCTCCCAAACGTCAACTCAAGGAGAGATCTGTTCAGAAGACAAGCTGGTAATTGTTAACTAACCACATCCGCAAAGTATCAGACTCCCGTTCTGACTTCAATCCATCATACAAACTCCCGAATCTTTATACATCTTTATGTCTCAGTTGGTCAATGTAAATGCATGATCACGACACGCACGGTGTCTTCTAGCAATTCCATGATTGTTGTGCTTCTATCACAGCCCACTTACTCTACCACTATTTATCACTATCAGTATCTGCGTCTGCCGCAGGTGGTCTTAGCAGCAGGCCACGACAAGGCAGCCGCTGCTGCCGCTGCACCATTCCATTCGCCCGTTGTCCGGATGCCGGACGGTCCCTCGAAAGGGGGTAGACAGAAGAGCGGGCCGCTTGAACAGCGCTTGGCGCTCCCGCAGACGCGTCTTTCTGCGTCTCTGCCTTCTAGTTCAGCAGCACGGCGGCATTAAAGTTGGAGGTACGCGCAGCCCGCATGATGGAGACGGCAGCGCCGCGTATCAACCAGCCTGGCAGCGACTAGTGCAGCAGTGCACGTGCACGTGCCGGACACGGGCACGTGCCGCAGGACAGAGTGAGACCATCGGGGCAGTGCTGAGAACGCTTGGAGCTGCAGCTGGAACTTCGACAATATGAACAGCCCAGCTGCGACGGTACTTCTGCTACTGCGCGATCTCCTTCATAGCGTGTTTCGGGTTTTCGGTCTGTGAGCAGCTGCTGTTTGGGCCGGTGTATCGAACATACAGGTTCGGCCAGGAGCAAGATGTGCATGGGGTCGCCCTACCCTCGCTCTACACCCGTGCTGCAGGCTGCGGACCTTGCAACAAGTATTAAGTTGCACACCAGGCAATATACCCTGCATCGTATGCTACGCATGGTTTTACTTGCAGCACACGTGTTATCTTAGAGAAGTGAAAGCCTAAAGCAGAACTAAGTAACGTCCTCTCATGGGTTCATACTCAACAACACACAAAGCGTCTGCCGTATGACGATCAATCGGGCATTGTCTGATCCGCACATAAGACCTTAGACTGGTACATTTTTGTGGCGACTTAAGGAGCGCTCCGCATTATCGTTTTTATACGCGAAGCTATTTCGTATTGCTTGCCGCCCTCGGCTTCATGTTACTTGCGGCGACCAACGCCGCCCAGGGTGTGGTGACTGCAACGCCGGGTGTCGGTCTACAGCGACATTATGAGCGATTCGCGCGTCACGAATTACATTTTTTTAGGAAAAACTTTTGCTATCCCGTGTACTTTTGGCCTCCAATTCCAAATAATTTCTTTGTCTAACTCGGTTTTGTCTCTGATGACGCACCTTAGTGCAGAACCAAGGGAGAATCAAAGCCAGCTGTTTCTCTGGTTGACATTGATTTGGCATGCGTTACATACTTCTAGGTGCTAAAGCAATGTGCCAATTGATACAATAGACACACCATACGGGGAAGGAAATCACCCTGCGTCGGTTATAAATAATTGCTGTGACACGTTATAAATCAAACATCAGACGATTGAAGTGTGTAGTAACGGGAAGACGTGTTATGTAGATTCAAACTCCGAACGTCTTCGCAGAGTTAACAAAAGTCGGCCAACGAATGTGTGTGCATAGCAAAAGTATAAAAACAGGAGGGGAAGCCAAGTCATTCAAAGTTTTGGTATGGACAAAGCTATGGGCACCCACATTGGATGGGTTACACATAAACTTGGGAGAAATGACTTCAAGAAGCACCAAATATGGTCACTTGTTGCGCTCGTCTAGTCACAATAAATTTTGCTCGCGCTAACCTTACATGCAGTAATACCAAGGAACAAATAAAAAACGTTAACGTTTTCATATCTTTCAGAGTTCAGAACTGATCCGATAGACAATACAAGCGGGTAGGTAACGAGCAGGAAAGCACCACTGATTTGGAAAAGTAACGAGCGACCGCATCCCACGGGTATCAGGTGCATCCCACTGGTAGCAGGTGCATCCCACAGGTATCAGGTGCGTCCCACTGGTAGCAGGTGCATCCCACTGGTAGCAGGTGCGTCCCACTGGTAGCAGGTGCATCCCACGGGTAGCAGGTGCATCCCACTGGCAGCAGGTGCATCCCACGGGTATCAGGTGCATCCCACGGGTAGCAGGTGCGTCCCACTGGTAGCAGGTGCATCCCACTGGTAGCCGCGAGGCCCCTACGAATATCCGAGGGGCGCAGATGCATTGTTTGGGGACAAAGCCCGAACACCATGGAGACTTGTACCCACAAGACTGACTGGCGCAGTGAAAAACACGGACGTGAAGCACGAAACAAGCATGAGCGACTCTGCCACGGACGTAACGGAATTGTACGATCGCTTCTACCATGTTCCTACAGGGTATCCCACAATCACGCACCACAATTGTGCCCATAATAAGTGAGTCAATATCCCAGCAATCACGATCTGATACGATGTATTTTATAGGCAGTAAGTTTTCATTTTGTGTCACTTTTAATACGTCGCTCTGGATGATGCATCATTCCAACACGGGTGAAAGAATCAAGACCCTTTGATTTCTCCCAGAAACTAAGTTAATCGCTTTGACACAGCCCAAATGAAAAACATCATCCAACCCAGACCGCTGCGATATCAAAAATTGTAATGGCTGTCGAAAAGGTTCTTGCTAGTGCAGCAGTCCAGAGCCAATACAGAGGAGTCTGTGGGCCGGAGAACACAATGTCGGCACATCCAACTATTACACACGTGGAAATGCTAGTGTTCCAGACGACCAAAATTTCTGTGCGGCGTGCCACTCCCGAGACGCACGTAAGTCATCTTACAACGCACCGGATACTCCAGAGTGCTCTGGGTCCGAATCCATACAAGACCTCTGCCCGCCAAAAACTGGCAGAAACCGACCGGGTGGAGCGGTCGGCTTTTTGTCGCTGGTGGAAGCAGAAGTGCGCCCGTCCAAGGACTTCGTCGGCGATATCTGATTTCCGAATGAGGCTTATTTTTACCCTCCCAGCCAAGTAAACCGTCAGAGCTGTCAGTTCTGAGATTGAGGTCCACCCGATGGGGCTGCTTCTTAAGACCTTGATTAATTCGCCTCAGGCAGCTCTGCTTGCTGCCCTCCACTCAACGGATAAAGCATCATCGAACTTTCCTTCTTACAGGGCCGTCACAGCGAGATCACAGCTATCGATATTGAGCGCAATATCTTCATGCCGAATCGATTCTGCGCGGCACTGGAACGGAGGTGCGTTGGCAACCCACCAGTGGGTTCAGCGACGCGAGGAGGCCCCGCACACGGCCTGGACGTCACTGCAGTCAGTGCGAGCTCATCTGGACGGTCGATTGATCTCCAGGAGAGACCTGACCAGTTTGCCAGCGCATATTGCAAACATAACTCTCTAGATTTCTTCTTTATATGGTATCTCAAGGCGCGTATTTACAGATCAGGATCAAAAGGTCTGGATGAGCGCAAGGAAAGTTTAAGAAAGCTGTTGGTCAGCGAGAAGTGCCGCAGGGGTCGCGTATAAGGCTTACTACAGGGCCGACGTGTGTCTGGTGCGACAAGGAAGAATCCTTGAGCACATGCTCTAGATAAAGCGTCTTTTGTCAAATGCTCTATTCTTGTTGCCAAACAATATAATATAAACTGCGTCTTCATTCCACGCTAACATTGTTGGTTCAGTTCTCTGTGTGTAAGATATTGACAATCTAAATGCAGTGCATAGTTGTGGGACATTCATAGGGAGAGAGAGAGAGAGAGAGAGAGAGAGAGAGAGAGAGAGAGAGAGAGAGAGAGAGAGAGAGAGAGAGAGAGAGAGAGAGAGAGAGAGGGAGAGAGAGAGAGACAGATATATATATATATATATATATATATATATATATATATATATATATATATATATATATATATATATATATATATATTGACGGAATTAGGTGGTGTATATACCACCAGCCAGGTGGTATATATACCACCATATATATATATATATATATATATATATATATATATATATATATATATATATATATGTATATGTATGTACGTGAAACTGTGCGCAACCCACATTCACTTCTTTACCCGCGTTCGCGCACCAAGACAAGCCCACCTACCACATGTATTTGATCCAAAATACATTCACGCTGGCAAAAATGATTGGACCTGCCGGAAGCGGGCCGACCTAGCGTGATGGGCTGCGTGTCTCGCGCATGGTCTGCCACCGGGACGCGACCGAGCGGGCCGGACCAATCATGACCTCGCGTCAGCACCAATATCGCCGGCCTGCGTCAACACGTGCCCGGGGCATATGAATACGCTGGCGCGTGTCGCCACAGTCATCTGTTTGTCCGCGACCGCGCGCCGCAGTCGACACGGCGCTGATGGGCGCTGGTGTGAGAACGGATGATGCGGCGCTGACGGGCGCTGGTGTGAGAACGGGCGACACGGCGCTGATGGGCGCTGGTGTGAGAACGGGCGACACGGCGCTGATGGGCGCTGGTGTGAGAACGGGCGACACGGCGCCGACGGGCGCTGGTGTGAGAACGGGCGACACGGCGCTGACGGACGCTG